ACATCCATTATCACAATCCAAATACCTTTTCACCTTAGCATTTATCCCACATTTGTCTACGGGCAGTTGGTTATCGTCCTCCATGAACTTACATTCTAATTCAGCCATATGAATTTCTTCTTGGAGATCTAACATCTTAAGCTGCCGTTCTAATTCAAGTCTCTTTTCTAAATTCTTCTTCCTTAGTAATGCGTTACCTAACCTTAATCTAGAAGTACTAAGCTCATTAGAGGACATACTATTAATGCTAACATCACATTTATCATCATCAACATCAGACATACCACAAACAGCTTTGGAAATTTTACCATCCATTTCGTCATTTTCCTTCGGCCTTTTCCTCCGCGTTTCCATCGTATTCCTTGTTCCAAAGAAACGATTACCAAAACAAATCTGAATTAATCCAAACGAAATCGACCAACAGAATTAGGAAATTGAACCCAAAATATCCAGACAAATCCAAAGTATGAGCTCAGAACCGATAATTGAATAACTTTATGTCACGTCCAAGTTTTTGCTCGTTCCCGTTATTGAAGTACGGTATGTCGATCTATTTGCAATTTACGAACCCAAATTAACAATAGAACCATACTCCAATTTAGATACCAAATTTTATTCGCAAGTTACAAATAGTCGACCCAAATGTCGTTCTAACAACAATAATTATAACATTTACGAAACAAACCTTCAATTTTGTAGGTTCCCGGAGCAAAAACTCCCAAATACCAATCCAATGACAAAGAGAAACCAAAATGTCCGAAAATGATGATATAAACAAACACGTTCAAAGGTTACGTGAAACAAATACATCCAAAAGCACAGTAAAATTATTGATGTACAATAAAAAGGTTTAAATTAGCCAAATGTTTACAGTTCTCCCGTAACACTGTAGGCATCAAAGCAAATTATATTTTTTAGATGGCTTTGATGTAATTTGAAGAGGTGTAAATATGATTAAGGTCTGTATTAGATAAACGGCTATCGTTAGAACTTAACATGGCAAATGATTGTTTGAAGGTAAGATTGAACCCAATATTTTTTAAGAGGAAATACATGTACGTTAATCAAGGGAAAAGGAGAGTACCGTGAGATCTAACTGGCTAAAGGTATGAAGTTGAGTGCAAAGATGAATCGTCAAATAAATGAAAACATTGTCAGGATATAGCATCCTCCGCTAATGAATACTGTTAACATCCCAATGAAAAACTATAGACAGATAAAACTAAGAACCACGTAAAAATTTACAACCTTCAAAGTTTGCGACCATTCAAAGTTCTATTGTACGGAGCTGAAACTTGGATAGCTACTACAATCATCAAAATGTTAGGGTATTTATCAGCAACTATCTGCGCAAGATACTCATTATCCGTCGGCCGGATGTAACCATCAATAACCAACTGTTGGAAAGAACAAACCAGTTTCTAATTAAAAAAGAAATTTGGAAAAGACGCTTGAGGTGGATAGGAAATGAAATGCGAAGATAACCAAACTGCGTCACAATGCAAACCCTAGCTTAATGTCCTCAGGGCAAAAGGAAAACAAGAAGACTAAGAAACACATTGCTTGGGAATTGGAAGCAGATTTGAGAATTGAATAATAAGAACTGGAAACAACTGTAAAGTATTTTCCAGGGCACATTTGGTCGCAGAATGCTAGTGAGAGGCCTAAGCTCCTTCACGAGGGGTAACAAGTGTAAGTAAGCCGGCGAAATGCTGAGCCGTGACCGGATATAATCTACAATAGTAATGTGAAGTCCCACTAGCAGATATCTTCATATCTATGAACCTTAATATGTTTAAGTTGGCAAGTAAATAATGTGTTATAGCAGGTTTATGCCGAAGGGATTAGAGTGTAGAATTATGGTCTATTATGATATTAGTACTGCTCTAATAATAGACCTAATCCTAAAATTGTAGATTTGTCATGATATAACTGCCTAACCTATAAGATCTTACGTGGAAGTCATACCATCTTTTACACCAACTCACTGTGTCATAGCAATTACCAATACATGATGGAGAACAAGCTTGGGCTAGAGAAAGGACAATATATTTAATATGAATAGAAGATATAAGGCAACATTCAGTAGGGACCATGCTTGCAAGGCCGAGCCATACCATCCCATCAACTCCAATTTATTTAATACATTCTTCCCGCCTTCTCCGTCGTTAGGTATCTCTCCGCGTTACATATTGAATATCTGTTTTCCGAGTTGTCTCGTGTTCAGCTTTGAGGATAGTGTGGTTATGGCACGATGCCACTACATGGGACCAAACTCTGAGTCAGTATCTTGACCATACTCTATTTTTACTACTGCCAGGTTCTCCTAGCGCTTTTTCTTCAATAAAGCACCAATATCTGCCAAATGTTTTCGGGTCTAAAAGACATCTGAGGATCAGCGATACGACTCCAATAAACAGGTTGTTTGTTTTAACTTCCGAACTGTTTACACAACGTTTATGTTAAGTATGTTTTATTTTCCACACCGAAAGATACTTATTAGTTTGTTCATGTTAGGTCCTTAGTATTTCTGAGTTTGTTGTCTACCAGAGATAGTTTTATGCTTGCTAAATCTGTCTTTTTCGAAGTGTGAGTAACTTCCAATAGAATCACTTCACTTGACATTCTATGGTCTTTATTACACCTATTGTCAGCAATTACTACATCGACTTCGTCTAAAGTGAAGGCTTGAGAGTTCACTTTTTTCCCCTTAAATAAAGCTTTAATGTGCATTTTATTGTGAATACCCATCAATTTGTATCAAACTGTTCACAACCATAAAGTGGCATGTATTCTGTAACAATTTTTAGAAGATAAATAACCGTTTTCATTATAAGCTTGACTTTCTGTGACATATCTCGATCATTTCTTACCTTGACAACAACATTTTTCAAGATGAATAGCTCAGTAAGTAATGAAAGTTTTGTAAATATGAGGTGTTAAGTGCTCAGTTGAAGTTTAAACGCTGCTCACATTTCTCTTTTTGAGGACAAACTTGTGTTTGCTGCCATAAAGCGACTCAGGGTAAATTATGTAACTTGGGATATAGGGTTCACTGAATGCAAAATCATGGTCATTGTAGTGGTTCATCTTCCCTTTTTGGCTCATGATTGTACATAACTAAGATTTAATTTTTTTGATTGCATACCGTCCCTAACCTTTGTATGTCTACCACTGTATGTTTACCTCTCTATTAGCAAAATCATACAAACTATAAAGATATATCGTTACTTCACACCTATTTTCATATGAATTTTAGGATACCTGCCTACCAATTGGATAATGAGATCTAGTTGGTTTCCGTAAATTAGATATTTGTAAATGTGAAGAGGGCTCGCAGACACAGGTATTAAAAACGCTACTGTCATTAACCTTTTTTAAGGCCCTGGTTGCAAATCCTGCCAAATCAGACGTCATGGATGGTGGGACGCCAGGATGTAGTTGAATCATTGGTTGAGATATCGTAGTGTTTGGAATCTGAGCTAGTTAGTCTTCGTAGGAGATATTCAGTACTGCGAATCCAAACGTGATTTACTGTCTTTGATTAACTGAGCACCTTCATTTGTAGATATATCCATTGAAACTAGTAAAGTCAGTATCATCAACAAAGACTTAAAAAGCTACTTATTTTCGAGATTTTTAACCACTACACCTGCATGGAATAACTCCAACAATCCATACATTCCATCTGACGAACGGCTAACATATTATCGGATCGGTTCATCATAGTGTGAATTTGTAGTTTGACAACACTTTAGTCAGTAACACCTTCTGTAATTGAGTCGTGCCCACCCAATGAAATCAGAAGTCAGAAGCGAGAAGGTTCGAAAATACATTTGATAGGCTATCAATATATAATGAAGCTATATCCGACATGTTTCCTGAAATACTAATTTAGTGCGAAAAAATAAAGTTCTAAACATTCTAGGGAGTTGAACGATGAAGAGAGACCCAGTAGTATTCTATTAGTCTATTTATCTCATTCAGAAAAAATCGCAACACCTCACTAACCATTTACAACTGAAATTCCAGAGTGTGTTGAGGAGATGAAGAATCGATATTCAGGTGATTTATAGTTAGTATCTGGTCTTCTTTGTGACCTCCACTTAATAATCCTTATTATCGGAGAATAATGTAGTTATCCAGAAACTGAACCTAAGAAGTGCACTGAATATCTCATTCACAAAAGGTTACTCTGATACAAATTCACCATACAACATATGACAGTTATATAATCCTTTTCTTGTTACATATTTTGTCTACGAACTGGTCGGATTATGCATAAAAACTGACTTATGTAAATCAAAGTTACACAGAAGGCTAAGGATTTGATACCAATATTAATAAATTGTTATCCTATACTCAGATACCTCATCGAATTGTTTCCCATCATATGAAGAACAGATAATCTCAATTTTTAACAATCAACTTAACTTTCAGAAGCATTTCTTTCTAAATTACTTAGCTGTTGTTAATATCATTTCGAGTTTTCAACAACATATTCATAAACAAACATACAATATCCCTTTATGTATTATCAACAATTAATTACTTAATATAACTCTAATATAGTAAGTTTCATCGTAATTTCTAGCATTTAAACGCTTAAACATTCTAGTAATCACTAAACACAGTGTTGGGATGTTCAGAAGAATATCCCGAAAATTATTCTGTTAAGTCTAATGCTATCCTTGAACTTGAGATGGTATCATTTTCCTATTGGTCAATATTTATTTCACTTGCCATTTTCTATTTTATGGTACGATTTTGTCTGCTTGATTGGTATATAAACAGAGTATGTTTGAAATATAATGATTCATAACTCAGAGGCTGAGACTTGTGTTCTGGACTTAACTGGCTGGGTTAAACAGGAAGCAGGGCCAATCAGAACTCTAGATCGATCATACGGTTTTACGTGTCATTGATCCGATCGACAAGTTACTGCTCTCTAATCAGCGGTTACAGTTATAACACACAGTATCAATATTTATAACAATCTATTATCCATAAAGAAGTTTATTTCTTAAATATATGTGACGGAAAGAGAAAAAAAACACACGCCTTATTTATGAAATTATCCAATGAACAACACAAATCAAGAATCAAGTTCCATACATCCGATTAGAAAAGATCATTCGTTTACTTGGCAACATATATATTTATAATAATAAAAGGAAATTATATGATATTTTTCTTGATTTAGAAATTAAAATTTAATTCATTTTAGTTCATCTGAATTTAAGTAAAATCTGAAGTAGCAAAGATTTTAAAAAAAAAGGAAACGGGTGACAAGGTTTTTAATTAGTAGTACATTCATTCATGCTAAATATTGAATCGTTTCAAACAAATCAATTATCGGTTATTGATTTTCTTTTCTTTTTTTTAAAAAAAAAAAGAAAGTAATATACTTTCAAATACTTTATACAACAAGTATGACTTATTTAATTATATATCAATTAGCAGTAATAGATTATCTTTTCTTATTTTTTTTTCTTTTTTGGTTTTTTGAATGCAATAATAATGACATTCGAAAATCAATATTTCATATTTATTACGCCAGCAACTATCGTCTAATCAGCCATGATTACATCATTAATAGAATCCAATGAAAAAAAAGAAGATATTTCATTATCAGTATGACATTTTGTTGTTGTTGTTGTTGTTGTTGCGGTCGTTGTTGCTGTCGTTGTTGTTGTTGTTGTTGTTATCATCGATCATTGAATAAAGATGATTTATTTATAAGTTTATTATTAGAATGATATAGAAAAATGGTATTTCATATAAAGAATCATTGATTCTTATCTATAACTAATGGTGGTAATAATGAAATTGGTTTTGGTAATTCTTCACAATATGTAATACATGGTAAACTATAACGTATTATATTTTGTTTATTATTATGATTATTTATATTTTTTAATTGATTTGTTTTACGTTTTAATTCATTTGTTCTAATACTTTGTGGTATATCAACATAATACATTGAACGATAATTTTTATTCATTAAATGATCATTCTCATTAGAATTTAATATAGATTTATTAAGTTTTGATTCAGAACCAAATGTTAATCTTAAACTAATTGGTATACGTTTATGATTTTTCTTTATTGATTTATTATTAGTGTTACCTTTTAATTGATCATGTTGTTGTTGTTGTTGTTGTTGACATTTTAAATCTTCAACTGAAGCTACTCGTGTTATACAAATTTCTTTATCAGTTGCAGCTATATTAAATGAAAATGGTGTTTCAGTTTCAATACAAATATCTTCATTTGACGCTACACGACCAAGTAATAATTTACATGGTGGCAATGTTTGTAATGGTAATAATTTATTAAATTTAGATTGTTGTTGTTGTTGTTCATTTGATTTTTGTGTAGAATTATTAGATAATTCAGATTGATTTAATTTTGTTTGTGGATTATTATCATTGATATGAATATTTAAAGTATCATTAATTAAACTGTCAATTGTGTTTAAATCTTTTTCTAAATTGGTAACAATAGGATAATCCTGAAAGAGAGAATTTATAAAATTAAAGTTTAACTGGGCCTATTGTGAGATAGTTTAAAAGGTTTGAATAATTTTTTCTGGTTAGCGTTTTTTTAGCGAGTTAGTTTTCTACGGGATGGGGACGCTAACCCCATGCCCAACCCTCCTACTTTATTCGGGCTTGGGACCGGCAGTAGCCCCCGGAGGGACTTCAAGCGGAGTTCATTGATGAACAGGGTGAATCTGATGAAGATGTGAAGGCGCGGATCGGCAAAGCAAGAGCAACATATTTAAAACTGAAGAACATCTGAAACTCAAAGCAACTGTCAACCAACACCAAGGTCAGGATTTTCAATACAAATTTCAAGACAATTATACTGTATGGGGCAGAAACCTGGAGAACTACGAAAGCCATCATCCAGGAAATACAGGTGTTTAGTAACCATTGCCTACGCAAAATACTTCAGATCCATTGGCCGGACACTATTAGCAACAACGTACTGTGGGAGAGAACAAACCAGATCCCAGCGGAGGAAGAAATCAGGAAGAAGCGCTGAAAGTGGATAGGACACACATTGAGGAAAACACTCAACTGCGTCACAAGACAAGCCCTCACATGGAATCCTCAAGGCCAGAGGAAAAGAGGAAGACCAAAGAACACATTACGCCGAGAAACGGAGATAGACATGAGAAGAATGAACAAGAATTGGATGGAACTAGAAAAGAAGGCCCAGGACAGAGTGGGTTGGAGAATGCTGGTCAGCGGCCTGTGCTCCACTGGGAGTAACAGGCGTAAGTAAGTAATTAATTGTGAGATAGTAACTGACTGAACACAATGATGAATGTGTCTTTCAATTTCGTGGATTATTTGAAGGTAGACATTCACACTGTTGGATGCCGGCTCAGTGGTCTAGTGTTTAAGCATTCGCGTGTGAGACTGACAGGTTTTGGGTTCGAGTCCCGCGAGGCGGGATTGTGGATGTGCACTTCTGAGGAGTTACACACTAGGACGAGACAGCCGTCCAGTGCTTCCAGGTTTTCCATGTTGGTCTAGCTTTAACTGACTCGTGATCTCAACTATTAAAGTTAAATTGTTGTGTGTAGTTGTTTCGGATTATTTAACATGATCATTTTTTTTAATGAACAAATATCCTACGATAGTTACAAAATGTAAGCTGTTTTAGGCTGCAAGTAGGATGCTGTAAATGTAAAATTATAGAATGCTTACAGTTGATTTATCATTGACTCATGTCATGTTTGGTTAGTCCAATTAGTACTGACTAAATTCTATAGATCAAGTTGCAATTTGGTCATTATTCTAAATTACTCGACATTGCATACATTATACTAAAATATTAGGTGACCACAGGAAGTCCTCGAGAAACGTTGGACCTAGGTTTCATGCCAATTGACATTTAGCAAGATGTACCCATAACCTTGAGTGAATTTATGTTCTTCTGTAAGATCCCGACTTATGTCATCTAGGTTTTTAGTGTGAGATGTTAATACTTACCTTTCGATCCACGATTAACTTTATGCATGACTGAAATAATGACAATTGATTTATCACTGAGTAGTAACCAATGTCATATATGTCTAATCCTTTAGTGTTGACCGAGTTCTATGGACTAAGTTGAGTAGTGAACGCCATTCTAAATGACTAAGTTTCTTTTGTTTAAACCATTAAAAATAGTCTAATTAATAGAGTTTTAAATATCGTTGTTAATTAGTTTACAAGTGTTTGCCTTTTGTTTCATGTTTTACCTAATTTCTATGCTTGTTTCGTCAATGATGTTCACTGAATTATAATTTAAGTAAACATTTCATTATAATTTATGAAAACTATCCACTTGAAAATAAATTTACGATTACGGCTGATACTGCCTGGTTTTTACATGTTAGGCCTCTTCAACAGTGAACACTCAGAACTATCACCGATGTCATCACGAAACAACTAAGTTTGATGATGTTTTTGATCAAATCTGACTAAATTTTGTGTAGAGATAATACCTTTGTCTCGAAATCTGAATGTATTTAGTGTTAATTGCCGATGGGTTCCAAACTAATAAGAAAAAGGTTATCCTGTGATTTGTGGGACGATCTAGACTTCGCATACGATTTGGCTCTTCTATCGCACGCGCAACAACAAATACAGGAGAAGACGATGAGTGTAGCAACAGCCTCAGTAGCAGTAGGTCTCAACATACACTAAGGGAAAAGCAAGATTCTTCGATACAACACAGCATGCAACAATCGAAACACACATGACAGAGAAGATTAGGAAAACGTAAAAACATTTACATATCTGGGTAGCATCATTGATGAACACGCTTGATCTGATACAGATATGAAAGCGCGGATCGTCAAAGCAGGAGCAGCATATTTACAACTGAGGGACATCTGGAACTCAAAGCAACTGTCAACCAACACCAAGGTCAGAATTTTCAATACAAATGTCAAAACTGTTCTACTGTATGGAGCGGAAACTTGGAGAACTACGAAAGACATCATCCAGAAGATACAAGTGTTTATTAACAGTTGTCTAAACAAAATACTTCGAATCCGTTGACCAGACACTATTAGCAACAACCTACTGTGAGAGAGAAAAAACCAGATCCCAGCGGAGGAAGAAATCAGGAAGAAGCGCTGAAAGTGGATAGGACACACATTGAGGAAAACACCTAATTGCGTCACAAGACAAGCCTGCACATGGAATCCTCAAGGCCAAAGGAGGAAGAGAGAAAGACCAAAGAACACATTATCCCGAGAACTGGAGACAGACATGAGAAGAATGAACAAAAATTGGACAGAACTGGAAAGGAAGGCAGAGTGGGACAGAGTGTGTTGGAGAATGCTGGTCGGCAGCCTATGTTCCATTGGAAGTAACAGGTGTAAGTAGGAGATTAAGTGATTTGTGGTTTGCTTTGTTTCTCTAGCTGACAAGCATATTTCAAAAGGCAATTTAACTGTATATATTTCAAGATCAATTTACATCCTTGTTATCTAATGCATACTTTTTAACTACCAAAGTGCCGATTGATTTATATCCAAGAATAATAGTTTCAAAAATTGAATATTTTCAAATTATAAGTGGTATTTCTAATTTCAATTAGCTGAATTGTTTGTAGTGATTATCCACTGAAATAAAGTCAAACTGTTTTATAGCTTGTGAAGAAGATCATATTATCACGTCCAATAAGGTTATCCTTATTATTGAAAAATGGTTGTTTATATTCATATTAAATCTGGAAACAACATTACTATCATAATGTAAACTTTATCCCAGTAAAGTTAATGTTAGTTGTTAGTAATAGTTCTTGTGAAAAGTAACCATTTAGTAACCATTCACAATTTTATATACTTCCAATTATTACACTAATCGTCTACTTATTACTTCTAGCATATTACATAAAACTTTTTTTTTCCCAGACTAGTAATTCAAAAGAAAGTATGAATATAATTTACAATATTACCATGTAATTATTATTTATATTTCGTATTGTTTGCTTGTATCTTCCTACCAGTCTGTTACTAGCAGATTGCCTCGATATTGTCTAGTCACAAACTTTATAAACAAAGATGGATGATTCGAGTACCAGAGTGAACAACAACTCTAAGATGAAAGTACCTCCAACTGACGAGTCTCAAATAGGGTGAAACGTGCATTTCGGATTCCAATGTTAGCTATCATCCATCTTTGCCTTAATCAAGGCCCGTATTTTAGGTTAATTACATGAATTTTCTTTGTTCATAATGAAATCATTGTCAATTTGAAATAAATCAAAATGAAAGTTGTTTAGTATCAGAAGGGTTTTTGTGGATATTCTAGTAATCTTAATAGTTGAGACTGTGAGTCAATTAAAGCCAGACCACCAATGAAAACCTGGGAGAATTGGATGGCCGTTTCGTCCTATTGTGGGACTCCTCAGCAGTGGGCATCCAGGAACTCACCTAGCAAGATCGTGTAACTTAAGTATTATACATACTAATTTTGTATTCTATGCTTGAAATAATTAAATCTATTCATTCATTATGTATACATTGTATTAAGCTTTTTTTGTAAAATGAAATAAAACGAAGTTGGATTCTTCTAATTGACTCATGGATGTCTACTTTAAATGAAATACTCTTAAAAATGAAATCATTTACATAGAATGTAATAATATCAGAAAGGGTTTTTGTGGATATTATAGTTATTTCAATAGTTGAGATCATGAGTTAATTGAAGGTAGACTGCCATAGAAAACGGTCGTCTAGTGCTTCCGGGTTTTCCATGGTGGTCTAGCTTCAATTGATTTACGATCTTAACTATTGAAATAATGCAACAAATAATTATGACTTTAATAATTTATTTGGATTAATTAATGAGATTTAATATGAATCACGTTTTTGTTTTTACTATTTGTTGTTTAGTGTGGTTATCAATGTAAAGATAATGTTCTATTATGAAGAGATTATTCTAAGAGACATTTACACACAAAAAAAACAACAGAAATGTTAGGTAAGATCTTCAAGATGAACAATTTCACATGTTCGAATACCTCAGTGATAATAACTCAAACTGCCAAGATGAATAATTCGGGTTTGAATCATATAGAGAGTATTACTGTTTTCAAGACAACAGATATAGCTACTTGATGAGTATCAACTAGCAAGAAATTTAGTTCCAGGAGTACTTATTAACTAATTCTAATTACATGACGGTTGCATGAGTTTAACTCTGATTTCTGTCATATTCAGTGGACAATTTTCATAACTTAGCAGACGTTTTCTACTTTGAATAAATATATATCACAATCTTTATGAAGAAAATGGTATAATTTAGATTTAATTTATCTACACGTAAAGTTAACATGAATTGTAACAAAACCCAATATGATTATGACATTTACGTTTGTCGTTTTTTCTTCATATCTGTCAATTGAACTATTATCTGGTCCATACATTATTTTCTTCCTTACTCCTTGATTAGTATGTAACCTCATTTGTTATTTAGTCTGGAATCCATTTTTGTGATGCAATTGTTTCTATCCTTCTATAGACATATATTTTCCACATATAACTATATATACGAATGTACAGCTTAAGTAAATGATTTCGTCGAAAAGAAAATTTTCTTCGTTGAATTTTCTTTTTCTTATTCAATGAGACTATGACTACTGAAAATCCACATCAAAATATATTGCACATAATGTCAAGTCCTATAGATTGGTGAGTGTATTTGAATTTGATTGATAGGATTTTGATCAGAACGAAAAATGATTAGACAATCATAATATTAGTTACTAACCCGATGATTAATTAATGCTCACATTTGGTAAGATAGTTATTTTCACTAGAACACATTTATGGAGAATACGTTGTGATGCTTAAGAAGTTGTTGCTGTGTATGTTGCATTCACAGCAATATTATTGAGACTTAGTCATACAATTTGATAACTTAAGTATAGTAAACATCACCTTTAATGTATATACGAGTTCTTATTGCTTATGACAGATTCATTTAATAACATACATAAGTCAACTTGAAAGTATTGTCATTGAAATGTTCGTGATTAAAGAAAACATTTGTAAGCCGTGAATTTTCATTATTTAGTGGATAGGACACACTTTGAGGAAAGCACCCAACTACGTCACTATGCAAGCCCTCACATGGAATCCTCAAGGCCAAAGAAGGAGAGAAAGACCAAATAACACATTATCCCGAGAAACGGAGACAGACATGAGAAAAATGAACAAAAATTGGACAGAACCAAAAAGGAAAGCAGGGTGGGACAGATTGGGTTGGAGAATGCTGGTCGGCGGCCTATTCTCCATTGGGAGTAACAGGAGTAAGTAAATAAGTTCGAAGTTGAGAAGTCGAACCCATATTTTAAATGTAAATATGACTAAATAGCTAATAAAAATGATTATTGCCAGCTAGATACTAGTAAAAGATAAACTCAATCGTTTGTGTATCACTTCGACACTAATAAAGAACACTATTGTGGTTTAATTGTAACTCAATAGATGACAATAAAAAAATGTTTGCTGTGAAAAACTATGAACTGCTTAATGACTTCAAAATATACTAAGAGGTACTTGAGTTCTTGAATTTCAGAATTTTATTTTTTTATACATTTTAAAAGTAACTCACATGAACACCAACTGGTGGAGGAACAGTTTTTACTTTTGGTGAAGTTTCTGCAAATCCATCTTTATTCATTTTTTCAGTACACTCTTCAACTGCATTCACAATTGATCCAGCTGATACAAATCCTGAACTTAAAGCTAATGGACTTGGTTGAAGATATGGACTATTACATTGTTCTAAAGTTACATCTGGTTTACGACGACATGGACTTAATGTAACAGCATGACGAAGACTTGATCTAAGACGTCCAGGTATTCGCCTAGTGTCTGTGTTTGTTTCTGTTAAATCATCTGATTTTTCACTTATTAATAATTTAGAACTTTTGGATTTATTATCTGAATATAATGTTTGTTCAGTTATATCAGTTTTAAATTTGTTCTTGTCCATTTGTTTTTCTACTGGTGAATTTTTATCTCCATTATATTGTGAAATTGATGAAATTGGAGAAAGAGAGATATTTTTATATGGTTTACTAATCTTGGTCCATTGACATGTATTATTTTTATGTTCTGTTTTTATTGATTCACTTGGTGTTAAACTGATTTCAGCTGAAGATCTTTCATTAGTTATTGTTAAAGAGGTTGGATTGACCGATGAAGAGGTAGTTTTGAATTTCGATTGTTTGCTTTTGAGAATATGAAAAATGAAACGTTAATAAAGTTGCATATGTTCATATATGCTCAATGAACTTCTGTTTAATAACAATAATCATGCAATATTCTAAAACTGTATTTTTGCAGATAACCAAGAAATCATTTTTAAATATCTAATTCATTTTAACTTATTTTTACAGGCATTTAAGAACATCTAAACACAAATGAAAACTGGCTGTGGATATGTTAAATCCTAGCGAAGAATAAATGAATAGTAACTGCTAGGAAGTGTTTATGCATTGTTATTGTCTAACTACTAAGTGACTAGATTATATATACTTATCATAAGCTTTAATTTGATCCATTGACTACTATTACATGAATTACTATATTTAAGTTATTCCCAATTTAATTGTTACAGTCTCTCACACTCACAGCCACTTTTTGGTTTGATCTTGTATAATTATTATTTTCTGTTTTATCGTATGATGCGTCTGATTTGTTTGTATATAAACAGCTTATGTCTGAATTACATGATTCATACAATGAAAGCTGACATTGTGTTCTGGACTTAAACCGGCAGGGATAGGTGAGAAGTACCAATCAAGACTCAGAGTTGATTCCAGGCTGCTCATGCTGATTAATGCGTCATTGGTTTGGCACAGTGCCAAAGTCATATAAGTTGATATTGTAATTGGTGATCTTATCACGTGATAATTAACAGGGCAAAAATCATGACAAGATATTTATTAAAACCTGTGAAATATTTCTAGTTATTATCAAAGCAAAAGAGTAGATGAATAAAAAGACCTGATATGAATCTAACAATGTAAAGGTTTGAAAGTTAATACATGTTCAGTAGCTCACTGTTAATCCCAGTATAACTTTAAATCCAAAACCAAAATACTTTTTAAATGGACCTATTCCTGACAGATGCATTCCAAGTAAGGACCGGAGTCAGACAAGGCTGTTTACTCTCTCTCTTCCTCTTTCTTCTGGTGGTCGACTGGACTATGAAGACCTCGACATCTGAAGGAAAACACGGAATACAATGGACAGCTCAAAATCAATTAGACGATTTGAACTTCGCAGATGACCTAGCCCTCCTATCGCATATACACGAACAGATGCAGATGAAGACAGCCAGTGTAATAGCAGTCTCTGCATCAGTAGGCCTCAACATACACACAAAAGGAAAACCAAGGTCCTCAAATTCAAAGCGGAGAACAGCAATCCAATCACTCTTGATGGCGAAACTCTGGAAGATGAAGAATCCTTCACATACCTGGGAAGTATCATCGATGAACAAGGAGGTTCAGATGGAGACGTTAAGGTGAGCATTGGCAAAGCAAGGGTCGCATTCCTACAATTGAAGAACATATGGAACTCAAAACAACTTTCAACTAATATCAAAGTGAGAATCTTCAACACGAACGTCAAGACAGTCAGCTCTACTGTACGGAGCTGAAACTTGGAGAACTACAACAACCACAATCAAGAAAGTACAAGTATTTATAAATAGCTGTCTACGCAGGATACTCAACATCCATTGACCGGATACCATCAACAACATTCTTCTGTGGGAGAGAACAAACCAACTTCCAGCTGAAGAAGAAATTAGGAAAAGACGATGGAAATGGATAGGACATACATTACGCAAATCATCAAACTGCATCACGAGACAAGCCCTAACATGGAATCCTGAAGGGAAGCGAAAAAGAGGAAGACCAAAGAACACATTGCGTCGGATAATAGAAGCAGATATGAAAAGGATGAATAACAACTGGACAGAGCTAGAAAGGATTGCCCAGGACAGGGTTGGATGGAGAATGCTGGTGAGCGGCCTATGCTCCTTCACGAGGAGTAACAGGCGTAAGTAAGTAAGTAATTCTATCCAGTTTTCATATAATTTATTATTTAGTTGTTTTTTGAAGCTGAATTCCTAAATAGTTGAAAGTTGTTGAGGAAATCTTCGGTGATGACCTTTGAAAGACTCTAAAGTGATCTTGAGAGTGTTCGCCATAACACTATGGCTAAATGAGGATTATAAATCAATTTAAGGAATTAGGATTAATATTTACAGTTGATAGTTAGGGTTAGGAATTACATATAGAGTTTTCATCACGAACTGACATCAGTTATAATGTCAAAACTCTATTTAGTAAAATGAATAGATTAATTTCGCGCCAAAATTCAAGACCTGTGATCGTAAATTTGATTGGTTCGTTCATAAATTATACCTTCGCCAAATTCTTCTTAACGTTACTACTTTGTATAAATGAGTTAATTAAACATACTTTGTGAACTTTAGACTTAGTAACTGTACGTTTCAGAGAATTTCATTTGATCTAGAAAAATGCTAAAGTATAATAGATAAGAAAAAACGCAGATCAAGAACTCAGAAGTGTTTTATATTACCTGACCTAAATAAAGTTTTTTTCGAAATTTGTTCTGTCCCATGAATTTAAGGTTGAAATATATAAAAGTAAGTTTCCTTGAGAAATTTATAAAAAATATATCCATAGATTATATTAATTAAGTAAAAACAATCTTTAGTGGGTTTTCAACAACCTTCCCTGAATAGTGATGAGAAAACATAACACACTATTAAATTCACTTGGTGTTGTTTATTTATATCTTCCTGCATATGCCAACATGAGACTGACCAATTACAGTCTTCAACATCAATGGGAAGATTCATGTAAAACAAGTGAAATTAAAACTTCACTACATTGAACAAGCAAGCGGTTATCAGGACTCAATAGCTAAATGGATAACAGAATGACGTTTGAAGAGAACAGTACTGTGTTCGAGTCTTAGAGTGAACATCAACTTTGAGATACAGGTACATCCAGCTGACAAATCCCAAGTAGGACGAAACGTTAGTCCTAGATTCTATTACTACACTGTATTTTCACCCTGTAAAACATTATAATAATAAAGCAATTTCGTGGATTGGTTGATGTTAGACACTATCATCATTGGATACCGGCTTAGTGGTCCAGTAGGTTAAGCGTTCGCGCACGAGACCGAAGGCCCTGGGTTCCAATCCCGCGACCGGGATCGTGGATGAGCACTGCTGAGGAGTCCTACAACAGAACGAAACGGCCGTCCAGTGCTTCCAGGTTTCCAAAGGTGGTGGTCTAACATCAATCGGTTCATGATCTCAATAAAAAAAATAATAATGCATTCCAATTCTAAAAGACATAAACAGATGGTCAAAAACCGTTTTTTCAATTGTATACAATATTCGACTATTTTTTTTAAAGACAATTATTTTCAGCTACAAAGTAAGATCTTGGAAATAAGAATCACAATTTTCATTATAACAAAACAAAATACCCTACTGTTAATTAGTTTGTTGTCAACTAAATGATTATTTATTTGAAATATATAACTTGTTCAAAATGAAATGAATAGTTGAATATCACTATGGCAATTAAACGAACAAACTATTGTCCTATTACTAGATTTCATATACAGAAAAAAAAAAACATAAAAAAAGTGATATTTTAAAGAATAATCACAAGAAAGAAAAAGAAAGAAGTTGAATCATATTAGTTCTGAAGAAGAAAAAAAGGGAAAGATGAACGATTGAACTGAAAAATTTGAAAAGTAGGAAGAAAAGATAGAAAAAGATAAACCATTTCATATAAACAAAAATGTAGATAATATAATAAAATCAGAGAGACTATTGTCATTGAGAAAATGACATTTAGATAGAAAGATGGAAGGATCTTTTTTACTCCCATCTGTCAGTATGTTTATTTGCGCTTGTATATAAATATATATGGAATGATTGATTTTGGTTTTCTTCATGGGAATGTTAATATTGATCCATTTTGTTTCATTATAATACGTTTATTTTGGTGACTGTTTTCCTAATTTGATCTGCAAAATTTTTGAATTGTAATTGTTTTGATACATTAACACAAGCTAATATGTCGCTCGATTTCGTGGATTAGTTGAAGGTAGACATTAACACCTTTGGATGCCGATTCAATGGTCTAGTGGTTAAGCATTCATATGAGAGACTGATAGGCTTTCGGTTCAAATCCCTTGAGACGGGATTGTGGATGTGCACTGCTGAGGAGTCCCACACTAGGACGAGACAGCCGTCCAGTGCTTCCAGGTTTTCCACTTTATTTATTTATTATTTATTTTAACACATAGATATTGGTACAAGGAGGCACCAAATACACATACACCACACAAATGTCATTTGATATGTGTGAGGGTCGTGATACTGCTCAGGTGCCCAAACCGAAGCAGGTGGTTTTCTTAGGGGGCCACACCTGCAGCCTTCCACCTGATGGTCTGATTCACAAGGCAGTGGAGCATCGTAAGGAGATGCAGTTCCATGGAAGCCGGTGACCAACGATTTGTTCCTTTAGGATACTGGAGCCCATATACACCATTGGTTTGGAAACATGGTTTCCCAACTCCCCTAGGTGGACTCATCGTGTCCACCGGCCTGGTTAAAGCTCCGGACATTCGCTTTTCGTCTTCTCAATTTCGTAAACAACATCCGGGCTACGTGAAGGTAATGAGTAGGACTTCCCTAGAAGGGGCTATATACGCGTGGCCATGTGAGAGCATTTGGAGAGGGAGAGCGGACTCTTCTTACTCTCGGCCGTACTAGGGCATTTGTGGGCAACCAACCAATTGTTGTTACGATTATATTACGTGTTTAAATGTAACTTCTCACTTCAAATAAAATATTATTCAGGATAAGGTAATTATAATGAGTGGGAAATTTCAAGCTGTTATCTCGATTTATATCGAATATAAGATATTATTCATTCTATAGATTTAGCTTAATTCTTAACCATCTCTAAATAATCACATGGTATAATAATAAAACTTTCATCTTATATCAGTTTTGATTATCACTGATAGTTTGCTAATTATTACAACTACACTTTTTTGGAGATTTTCAGTATTCACAATACTTTGAGTTACGTATTTCTATTTCACTCTTGAATCGATATTATTAGGACGCAATAGATATGTCTCTCACAACTGATTGATCACTGGGTGGTGATCAATGTAATGTGTGTCAAGTCCTTATTTAGTGCAGATCGAATGCTATCGATCATGTTGCAATGTGGCCACCAGTCTAAGTGACTCAATACTGCGTGCACTATATCTAGAGATTAGATGGTGGTTGGAGGTAGTCGACAGCAAACCCTGGACCTAGGTTTCGTGCTACTTGGCACATGTCAGCATGGTGTGCCTGTAATCTTGAGGGGACTGGTGCTCCCTGGCGGATTCGATTCCGTGTCACCCAGCTTCGCAGTCAGAGACGTTACCACTGAGCTATCCGGGCCGCAGTATCGAGTCACCTAGACTGGTGACCACATTGCAACACGGTTGATAGCATTCGACCTGCACTAAATAAGGACTTGACACACATGACATTGATCACTACCCAGTGATCAATCAATTGTGATTACATCTCAGTCCTACAGGAGGTTAGTCACGGCTCGGATAGCTCAGTGGTAACGTCTCTGTCTGTGAAGCTGGGTGACACGGGATCGAATCCGCCAGGGAGCACCAGTCCCCTCAAGATTACAGGCACACCATGCTGACATGTGCCAAGTAGCACGAAACCTAGGTCCAGGGTTTTCTGTCGACTACCTCAAACCACCATCTAATCTCTAGATATGTCTCTAGTCAACTTAATAAAGAGCTCAGTAAATTAAGAATATTGGTTTAATAAATAATGGAATGATAATAATTGAATTTCCTTCGCAGTGTTGACAGCAATATTGATTTAAATACAAGTTAATTTGATAACTTATAAAAACATTTGTCCCAGTTCAACTAATCACTGTAGTCTTGTAGTCTTGTAGTTTTACATCACATAGTGATTGCATTAGATTCAGATTCATTAGTTCAAACCCTGGTAGCACCCTACGAGGTTTGAAGGTCATGAGATTGATCCCTAATAAGGTTATTGATGTGAAATACGGAGTCGCATACAAAATGAAAACACTGTCCAGTACTACCTCGTCTAACTGAGATCAGTCCTCAATGTAAAAAATATGGAATTCAAAATTCTCTAAAACCGTATATAATAAGAAAAGTAGTCATTAATTTGATTTAGGAATCATAATTGGAATATGATTCTCACCTTAGTTTTATTACTATTTCGACCAAAAACAGTTCATTTTTATTGCTTAATTTCAGCTTAAAAAGACTTACTGTAGTGTTTATAAAGATATTTTGTCCTATCTCAGTGTATTATTACTCAACTAGTGACGTTAAAACAAGATTTATCACTTCACTAATGAGCCTTCAATAGTTCACTACAAGGACTTTATTAAACATATTACCGATCTACTTGCATTGAAATCAACTAGGTAAATCAAAAAATCACATAATTACACTGTTTTTAATCAGACATTGAAACAAAACATCTGATAAGAAGTTGAGAGGAAAGTTAAGAAGAAGATTTCAATTTCCGAGAAGCTCCTAGTACAATTACTTGAATAGTTCAGGAATTCACGAAATCGAATCCTCTTACCCTTAATTTCTAATTCAATTAACCTTTTATTTTTATATATAACTGATTTTTAACAAGTATATGTTTGATCAGATTGTTCGAAATGTATTACGGTTATATATCACATAGTTCTGTTAATTTTCGTCTTCTCATTACACTATCGAAATGAATCAAAGAAATTTCTTATGTTGTCGTTGTATGAGTTTGAAATGAAGAAAACTCGGGAATAATTAATTTTCAGAAGGGATTTTGTGGAGATTTTTAGAAATTTCAATAGTTGAAATCATGAGTCAATTGAAGCTAGACCACTATGGAAAATCTGAAACCACTGAACTGCCGTTTCGTCCCGTGATGGGAATCTTCAACAGTGCAGATCCACGATCCCGCTCCCCACGAGATTCAAACTCAAAACCTATCAATCTCGCGTGCGAGTGCTTAACCATCAAACCACTGAGCCGGCCGATATCCAACGGTGTTAATTTCTAACTTTAACCAATCCATGAAATTGCACCACCGCACACCATTGTCTTCAGTGAGTTGATATCTCACAACAGACCTGGTTGAACTCCACTGGTCACAGCCTCTCATTAGAACTCCGGGAGTGTCTCTTGAAGTCAGTGCGCACTGCTGAGGAGTCCCACACTAGGACCAAACGGCCATCCAGTGGTCCCAGGTTTTCCACGGTGGTCTAGCTTCAATTGACTCATGATTTCAATAATTAATTTGTTAAGTTTGATTGACATAAATAATGATATAGCAGATCATTTTCTTCGAATCACTTGTACAAGTCATCCGTTATTTACAAGTTATCTTTATATCGGATAAAATGATGTTCGTTTACTATCAACGAGTGTTCAATTAAAGACTAAATAAATAAAACATGTGTACACTTTTATTTCATATACTTAATGAATCTATGAATGATAATCCTTTACTGTTCAGTTTATGAAACTCTTCTACATCAATCTTTGAAACAAATTATCCGTAGAATAAAATGCAACAAATGAAGAAAAGAAGTAGGGCGAGACTATAAATTATGGATGAACCAATCAGATTTAAAATAACAAATCTGGGACTTAAGCGCGAAATTCATTTGGTCATTTGGCTAAATACTATTTCGGGCATTATAACTAATGTCAATTCGTGATGAAAAACATAAATCTAATTGTTATATTCCGATGAGAATAATAATTGGTAACTGTTGGAATCTACTTCTGGACAAATACTATACATATATTTTTATTGTATAATTGCTAAATAGCTAAACTATTCATATTCATGTCCATCTTATTATGAGCTTTATTTTGACCTATGAACTGTTATTATACGATTTACCATTCTTAAGTTATTCCCAGTTTATTAGTTACAGTCTTCTACATTCACAGTCACTTTGGGCTTATTCTTGAACAAATGTTATTTTCTATTTTATGGTATGATGTGGTCTGTTTGGTTGATATTTGAACCCAGTATATTTAAATATATGATTCATATTGCGGAGGCTGAGATTGGTGTTCTGGACTTAACAGGCGGGACTAGGTAGGGAGAAGGACCGATAAGGACTCTAGACTGCTCGTACAGGTTTCATGCGTCATTGCTCCAGTCGATAATTCACTGTTTCTAATAAGCGGTATCAGTACGTTATATATTAATAGGGCACAAGGTCACAAGTTATAACACTAATTCTTAACCCATAATCCTAATTTCTCACACTAAATTATAACTCTCATTTTAGTTTTAGTAGAGTAGGTGGACATTTTCAAGGTCATTTCCCCAAGAAATATTTATAAAAACACAAATGAAAAGTATTTGCAAATAAACATATGCAACACATTGGTTTACGTATGTATATAACGAACTTACAAAGATACCGGGGTATTTTGATTGGTTGAATTAGTTTTCTGATATGAATCTGTTGAAGCTGAAGTAAATCATGAAAATGTTTATTTAAAACTTTATGATAATAACAATTATTATTATTTGATATAATGTTTACTTGATCCTAAGTAAATGTTTAAATAAAATTGTGTAACACACTCATTGTATAACTCCTCATGTAGCTCTTCTAGAGTTACTGCCAGTCCCAAGCCTGGATAAAGGAGGAAGGTCGAGCATGAGGTCATCAACCCCGTCCCGTAGAAAGAAAATCTTGCTACAAAAGTCTCAACCAGATAAACGCTCATTGTATATCTTGACTGGTTTAATAATTTCCATATATATGTATATAAATATTACTGAAAAAATAGAACATAATGGAGACCTAATTACAAACAGTTTTGTTCACTTCTTATGTGTGATGTTATAACTGATTTTAGTAGTTCAAAAAAACAGTATTGACTAACAGCCTGAATGTGTTCAACTGAAGTGCAGTGATATAAAACAGCCTAATATTTGTCAGTTTTAAAATACACCTAAATGACAAAATTCAAAAGCCATGTTCTAGGGTTTGAATTAAGATCAAAACAATGAAATTCTATTAATTAATACTAAAACTCAAATCGGAAATTAGTCCACTGAATAGTTATCATGAGTACTTTTTGTTACAATCTTGAAAGCTTCTAGTTTTGCTGAATTCGCTGAACTAGATGATTTAATCATGGACTTTTCATTGTCATTCTGGACTACACGATCAGAGCTTACTTCATGTGGAAGTGATATTCTTATTTTTCTTTACAAGCTTTAAATAAGTTTGTCCTATTGCTTTTTTTCATAGTTGATTATTCTCATATGTTTTATTATCTTCATTTGTTCTGTATTTAAGTTGACTATCTTATCTGATTGAGCTTTGAGTCGCTTGCTGATTGACCATCTGGATTAGAATATTCAACAACATCAAAGGCAACCATTTGAGCTGAAAATCTCTATCATTTTAAAATCACTTAAGTGTAATACCCTGAAGACAATCATTTACTTAATCGACAAAACATTTTCAGCACTAAAAAATAAAGAAACAAATTATCAATGACAATAATTATAAAAGCTACTCCAGGTATCTACCTCAGTACAATGGAAGATGGTAGCGCAATTTCGCGGATTGGTTGAGGTTAGACATTAACACCGTTGGATGCCGACTCAGTGGTCTAGAGGTTAAGCGTTCGCGCGCAAGCCTGAAGGCCCTGGGTTGGAATCCCGCGAGCTAGCTGGATCATGGATGCGCACTGCTGAGTAGTCTCACACTAGTACGAAACGGCTATCCAGTGCTTCTAGGTTCCCAATGGTAGTCTAACATCAATCGGTTCATGATCACAATCAAAAGCTTTTTTAATGGTTGCTCAGTAAAAGTAAGATGTGATTAGCCAGTGAGATTGAATATTGTGACAAATTACTTAAATTTTATTTAAAATCAATATTTTAAAATCAATAAAATTTACTTATAGACTGATTAAATGCTTCATGTAATGCGGTATTAGCAGCAACAGCCAAATTAAGCGCATCAGTATAAGATGTTGATGGGACGACTTTTTTAAATTGGTTATTTCTTCCATTTATTGATCTTGAATTATTATTTCCTAAATGTTGTTCAACTAAATAATAGGGAAATGGAATTAAATGAAAATAATTAAAAATAGAGATACTATTGAAATAAACGTTTAGAGTAGTATGTAGTGATAGTTTGTTCAATTAGAAATTTGGTATTTCTATATGTTTTAAAACAGAAAACAGGTACTCGTTTCTTACTATGAATCAGTACGTTACGTCTTTGATTTGTCTACCCACTTTTGTGCAGAGGATAACTTGTCTTATCTAAATTAAGACTCAGTGGCTTAACCTTGAGGCTAGTAGGCGTGAGTTCGAAGAAAGACCAACTGCTTGGGGTAGAGAGACGAAAACTAATCCCATCACCTGATTAGCTGACAAGCACTCGAATGAGAGAAGACAAGTCAACTGGAATACCACACGATTTATTCCCAATTCCTGTCTGGTTCCAGATTTCCGATTGGTGTAAAAATATAAATGAGTAAATAAATGACCAATAAGACCACAACGCACAACAATTAGGAAAATACGATTATGTCGAAAACTGGAGATTAGCGTAGAAAATAGAGTACAAAAGATTACGTTCAAATTACAATAGCTTTGGAACAGAAAAGGTTATGGCAGTGAATCATACCATCAAACGAAAGCTTATAATCTGTAGAATAGACTAGGGACAAAATGAAATAACGTCTGGAAAAATAGCTGCCATAGTTTATCAAGGCTTCTTGTTTCTTTGTCCACATCACAATAATATTGTTCAACTTCTTTTCGTTATAAATAGTTTCAGTCATCATTTCAATTGATCTATTGTCAACTAGTTATATGGTATTATTTACTTGAACCTTTTTAAAAATGAATATTAGTGAAAAATAATGGTTTTATTTAAATGAAAGTTATTGAAATTGATAAAAATCCATCAATGAATATCACCTCAATTAGTGAAACTGTTAATTGACAACTATGACAAGGTAACAACTGTTTTCGAAGAACAGTACGTACTTAGAAAGGTTTGATTTGTTTTAAGATATATATGAGACATGCCGAAGAGCTTCAAACAACGATAGAATAGTTGTCAAACGCTGGAGTTCATTTCAGTTACTTATTTACGCCTGTTACCTGTTGTGGAGGAGCATAGGCTGCCTATCAACATTTTCCATCCAACTCTGTCATGGACAACCCTTTTCAGTCACTATTCATCGTTTTGATATCTTCCTCAAATTCCCGACGTAGTATGTTCTTCGGCCTTCCAGCTTTCCGTTTTCTTTCAGGGCTCCAAGTTAGCGCTTGCTTCAGGATGCAGTTTGATGGTTTGAGTAATGTATGTCCTATCCATTTCCATCGTCTTTTCCTAATTTCCTCTTCAGCTGGAAACTGGTTTGTCCTCTTCCATAGAAGGCTGTTGCCGATGGTTTCCGGCCAATGGGTGTTGAGTATCGTGCATAGACAACTATTTGTAAATACTTGTACCTTCTTGATGATGGTTGTAGTAGTTCTTCACGTTTCAGCTCCGTACAGTAGAACTATCTTGACGTTCGTTTCGAAAATTCTGATTTTCATATTGGTTGATAGTTGTTTTGAGTACGAGATGTTTTTCAACTGTAGGAATACTACCACTGTTTTGTCATTACTTGCTCTTACATTTGCATTAGGACCTCGACGTTCATCGATGATGCTACCTGGACACGTAAATCTTTCCACCTCTTCTAGAGTTTTTCCATCATGTGTGACAGGGTTGATGTTCGCCGCATTGTATTTGAAGATCTGGGTCTTTTCCTCGTGTATGCTGAGGCCTAGTGATGTAGAGGCTTCTGTTATACTGGTTGTCTCGACCTACGTTTGCTTATGTGCATGGGATAAAAGGTAAATTAACTTCGAATTTAGGGGTTAATTCATAAATACTATAACGATTCACATTTAGTATATAAAAAATTATGTGAAGCATTAAAACAAGAATGGGAAATCATTCCTGGGTTTATTTAAACGTGCACTATAATACATAAGTTGTTAATGGTCAAAGTTAATAAACATACAAAATTTATGAATGCGTTTATATTTCCCTCTAAAGAAGGAGCTTGGTACTAAGTCACTATATTACTTGTAAAAGTTTATATTTACTCGATCTTGATGATAAAATTTGAATTTAACCAATCTTTTTTAAATAAATTCCCCAACGTTGCAGATACATCCTTAAAAATCGTAACACCTACTACATCCATTCGACAAATCGATAACTACTGTAATCCAGCTACTTAGTTATTACCAAATTTATATATGTCATAGCGAATAGTAGATTTTAATTTCAATGTAAACATCTATACTAGAATGTACAAAGATATAAATCTGATGAGCGACTAATGGGACAAAATATTACTATTAATGAAAGATGGATAGTGGTTAGCAGTGGAATCTAGGACGCACATTTTGTCCTATTTGATACTCGTCAGCTGAATATACCTGCATCTCAGAGTTAACATTCACTCCGGGACTGGAATCCAGTACCGTACTCTTCAAATGCCATTGCGCTATCCACTTAGCTACCAAGTCCTGATAAACACGAGCTTATACAATGGTGTGAAGTTTAAATTCACTTGTTTTACTTGTATCTTCGCATTGTTATTTAAGACTGCAATTGATCAATCTCTTAGTGGCATATGTGCATCCTATGCGGATTACCTCGATATAGCCTTAAGTTACAAGCTTTTTTCTAGCAAAGATAGAACGATACAAGTAGAATAACACCAATTGAATTACTATTAATCAATTGTATAACAAATATCCAATTCCTTATTATCTATAATTTCATTTATGCTTAAAATTGAAATAAATGAAAAGAATACATGAAATTCTAGCGTAGGCATTAGTTGTTAACTAATGTATAGTCAAACGGATAAATGTCATGTTGAAATTAGTCATTTATTATTGTTTCATAACACTTTAAGATTTATAGATAAGTTAGTTTATGTTATAAAGTCATATAGTCTAAAGTTAGACTAAGATTGGATGTTAACCATTCAGTTGTATTATTGTTTTCAATTGCATTACTGGATCCTAATTTATGATAATAATAGACAATCCTAATATGTATAGTTTTAGATCTCTTCAAAAGGAATTACTGAATCATTAAAATCATTTGGTTACATAATTAAAAACTTGGTATTGTTTGTTTGAATCTTCTTATTGATGTTTAGGACTGCAATTGATCAGTCTTTTATTGGTATATGTGCATACATCAATGAGAAGATTCAAGTGAACAATACTAAGTGAATTTGAACTTTACCTCATTGCACAAGCAGGTGGCCATCAGGACTTAGTAGCTAAGTGAATAAGACAATAATGTTGGAAGAGAACGGTACTGAGTTCAAGTCCCAAAGTAAACATCAATTCTGAGGTGCAGTTACATCCAGATGACGAGTGTCAAATAGGACGAAACGTGCGTTTTCGATTCCACTACTAGCCACTTTCCATCTTTGCACATAATACTTGTAATATTATAGTATGCATTAGAAAAGACAATTTGAATGAAAAAAGAACTCGAAACAGTTATAATCAGGATACCGTTTTTGGTATATGCTCGTTGTTTCTAAGAAGTACAATAACTTTTCAAATTAAAACAACCTAATTGGTAGTTTTAAATACTGATGAATTTCATTCTCATATTACATTATCTGCAATAATTTATTCAACTCATTGATACAAACGAAATATTCTACTCAGTTTACTTAGGCTGAAAACATTACTCTCAACCATTAAATTACTATAATATCCACGAACAACCCTTTTCTCATAATAATCATCATATGTCCACCAGTGCCTGGCTTCAGGAGGTATTTCCTGAAGTTCTAGTGAGAAACAGTGATCAGGAAGTTTAACCGTGTCTGTTATGAGATAGTAACTTACGAACACGAAGGTGGCTGTTTCGTGGATTGGTTGAAGTTAGACATTAACACCAATTGATACGGGCTCAATGGTCTAGAGGATAAGACCTATAGATCTTGTGTTCGGACCCCGCGAGGCGGGATCGTGAATATGCACTGCTAAGGAGTCCCTCACTAGGACGAAACAGCTGTCTAATGCTTCCAGGTTTTCCATGTTGGTCTAGCTTCAATTGACTCATTAACTCAACGATTAAATTATTATAATATCCGCCAAAAAACCCTTTCTGATAATAAATGAATATTTGTATTACTGTTATCATTAGTCCAATTGAACTACCTATAATAAAACATATGAACTTAACTAGTCTGTCACTACTTAAATAACATGATATAATTAGTTTCACTGTGTATCGTGAAGATGTATTATTTCATCTGAATAGCTATATTTATAGCTAATTGTTATGAAGTATAGTATTCCATGACTTGTAACTAGACGAATTCTACAGATTTTGAATATTCATGGCTATTTTTGTTGATCCTATTTCTCCTTTATTTCCAGGTTCATATTAATCCCCATTTAACTATTAAACATATTGAATATATTATATTATAATTATTATTATTATTATTACTAGTAGTAGTAATAGTAGTATTAGTATATATTTTGATTCGCACAGTAGGTAAGTTAATTGTAGACAGTATAAATCAAAGTAACTTCATTTAGTCTACCTGTGAAAATTTCCCACTGTGAGATGATAATATTTATTAGTTATTTTTGTTACTAAGTCTACTTTTCAAAAACCTTTTTAACATTTTTCTCCCTAAATGTTTATATATAATGAAATGAATGAATTAACAACTGATCTTTAGGAGAAAAAAGTGCTGATTTTCGAGTATTTTAAAGTAATCAATATTATAATCATTAAGGGGTTTTGTGGATATTATAGTAATTTAATAGTTGAATTTATGAGTCAATCGAAGTCAGACCACTATGAAAAAACCTTGAAGCACTGGACGGTTATTTCGTCTTAGTATGGGATTCCTCAACAGTGGGCATCCACGATTCCACCTCGCGAAATTCGAACCCAGGACCTATTAGTCTCTCACGCAAACTCTTAACCTCTAGACCACTAAGCCATCATCCAATTATTGATATCTACTAATAAAATATTCTGGTTATGTTTTTCAAACTAAGTGAATTTATTATGATAACAAGCATATAGTTTAGAGAGGAGATAAATCTCGTTTCAAGTATTCTCATTCTTATGTTTGTATAAGCTAGTATACATAGAGATATTTTATAGTAACAATCAATCGAATATAGTAAAGAAGAAAAAAATGATGCATATAACTTTTCTACTTCCATAGTCAATGATATTTTTCTTAACAGTTAAACAAACATTAATATATTTTGTAAGCAATGATGGATAGTGGCTAGCAGTGGAATCCGGGAAACGCGTTTCGTTCTATTTTGCACTCGTCAGTTGGATGTACCTGCATCTCAGAGAGTTGATGTTCACTCTGAGACTCGAACCCAGCACCATTCGCTTCAAACGCCATCGCCTTATCCACTTAGCTACTGAGTCCTGATAGCCACTTGCTTGTGCAAATGGGGTGAATTTAAATTCACTTGGTATTGTTTCGCTTGTATCTTCGCGTCCTGGATTCCACTGTTAGCCACTATCCATCATTGCTTACAAAAAGCTTGTGAATTAAAGCCATATCGACGCATACGTACAGTATGCACATATATGCCAATAACAGACTGATCAATTGCAGTCTTAAGCCTCAATGGGAAGATACAAGCTAAACAATACCAAGTGAATTTAAAGATTAATATATTTTGTGCTTCGCTTCTTTCTCTTTTTTCTTTCCTTTTTTTTTTGTATAAGTTCGTTTCAGTCTTACTATATTGAATATTGATTCGAGATAAAATAAAAATGTACTATGATTAGTTTAGTTGAATGCACTGATACAATTTATAAACATACATACTTACATGTTAAATATTATAACGAAAATTCATTGAAATAAGTATAGAAGATTCTGTTATTTATTGATGGTTAGTTACACTGTTATATTATGTTTACTAATAGGGTCATTAGCTAATATTCGATTGTATCCTACTGGTAAATTATGTAAACACTACTTTATGTTAAGTGTATGTAAAGTGATTAAACCATTTTCACATCAATATTACTGTCTTCTTCCTTATATATATATCTATATCTATCTAACTAACTATCTATCTATATGTATGTATCAAACGGGATAAAAATGTACACATAATTATAGTTGGTTATTATGCCTATCAGTTTAGCAAAATGGGATAATTTAAACAATGAACATTCGATCAAATTTGTATACATAGAATAAAAACTTACTAAGAGAAGTACTATGGTTGAATTCGATAATATAAGTTATCACTTATTAAAGCATAAATTTCGATTGAAAAAATGTTAATTTAGAATAAATAATTAAGATTTAGTTTACACAAGAATTTATTATTATTATTATTATTATTATTATTATTATTATCTTGAAGTGAACATTAACTCTGAGATGTGGTTACATCCAGCTGACGAGTGTCAAATAGAACAAAACATGCGTCCTGGATTCCGCTGCTAACCGTTATCCATCTTTGCTTATAATGCTTATAAATTAAGGCAATATTGAGGCAATACGTACAGGATTCACATATGCCAATACGAGACTGATCATTTGTAATCTTAAACATCAATTGGAAGAGTCTAGCAAACAATACTAAGTGAATTTAAACTTCATCCCATTGCACAAGTAAGCGGCTATCAGGACTCGGTAAAATATCATAATTATGGACTTATAACTAAAGAACCTGATGATGAATTTATTGAAAACAATTGTTTGCTCAAATGTTCTTCATTTTTGAATAGTCTATGGGGATTTTTAAACTGCTGAAATGTTGTTTCATATTTTATTGGTATGTTGTGGTCTGTTTGATTGGTATATAAACTCATTATGTTTGAAATATAACGATTCATATTACAGAGGCTCGGATTGGTGTTCTGCAATTAACTGGCTGGTCTAGGCGGAAAACAGGATCAATCAGAACTCTAGGCTGCTCGCACGTATTTTACGTGCCCATGGTCCGATCAATAATTCACTGCCCTCTAATCGGCGGTCACAAGTTATAACAGCAATATCGAGGCAATCTGTATAAGATAGATAAAGGTCAATAACTAACTGATCAAATTGGGTCTCACATATTAATGGGAATATTCAATCAAATAACAGAAAAATGAACTTTCCAGTCGTTTGTTTAAAGTAATAATGTTTATCTTAATTCTAACAAAGATCTCTCAGTAGTCAGAAGGGAAGGCTTAGTAAAGAATGGGTTGGAGAATTCTGGTCCGCGGGAGTAACAGGAGTAAGTGAGTAAGTAAGTAAGTAAGTAAGTAAGTAAGTAAGTAAGTAAGTAAGTAAGTAAGTAAGTAAGTAAGTAAGTAAATAAATAAATAAGTAAACAGAATATTTAAAAGCTAACAATTGATATTTCACCTAATGCTCGTATATCACAATGTTTGTAAATTGTTTCATCTGTATAAAAGAATTTAAAGGAAAAATAAACTCAGTTCAACCTAGTATATGACTAGTTCTCTTTTCATTGTATATCATAATTTAACAACGATATTTTGAATGAATAATTGGGTGAGTAAATACATGAAATAACTCATGATTATAATATTAAGTTAATGAACTACCTTAATGTAAGCATTAATTTTCTGAATATGAAAATATACACAGATTCATCATCTATTCATAGACCGTTCATTGTTTAGACTAGGTGAATTGTGACTAGCTGTGGAATTCAAGACACTTCAGCTGTATGTGACTAGATATAATTTGAAAAGAGTAATTAGATTAAAAATCTTCGAAAATGTTGTAAAGTTAAATAAGTCCATCCTGAACTTTTGTCCTACATCATGAGTTGCTGTACACCAACTTCTTCATAATGGAAAGCTATGGATAACTTCAGACTCTTGAAATGAAAAAGTTAGAGATTAACACTGTTGGATGCCGACTCAATGGTTTAATGGGTAAGCGCTCGCGTGAAAAACTGATAGGTCTTAGGCTCGAATCTCGCGAAGCGGAATCGTAGATGCACACTGCTGAAGAGTCCAATGCTAGGACTAAACAGCTAACCAGTGCTTGCAGGTTTTCCACGTTGGTCTAGCTTCAACTGACTCATGAATTCAATTATTAAATTACTATAATATCCACAAAACCCCTGTCTGAATACATATATATATATATTACACTACTCAAACAGAAAAACAGTAAGCATCTCATTAGAAAAAAAAATACCTGAGTTAGTTTGTAATATATTTATTGGCTTGTAATCATCTTGTTTCAATTTGATAGATTCTGTTTTATCCAATTCATATGTTTTACGTCTTAATTTTGGAGTGAGAAAATTTCGAAATGATTTCACTGTTGAAGTTTTATATCGATTGATAGGTGAATTTATATTAGGAAGTGGAATATTTGGTTCATATGAATGATGAATTGATCCTTGTATATTCGATGTTAAATTAACCGGGTTATTAGATGAATAATAATTTGGTATATTTGTAAAATTTTCTATTTGTTGAATAGGTTGTAAAACAACAGCGTTACTAGTGAAGAAAACAAAAGGTTAACTATGATTTAGAATAGAAAATCTACATCAGATTAAATATTATTGATTTTATTTATAAAAATACAGTTGAAATATAGATAAAAATAATTGTTATTGTTTTCAGAAAGGGGTTTTGTGAAGATCGTAGTAATTTAATAGTTGGATTCATGAGTTGGTAGCGCAAGTTCGTGGATTGATTGAAGTTAGACATTAATACCATTGGATGCCGGCTCAGTAGTCTAGAGGTTAAGCATTCGAGTACGAGACCGATAGATCCTGTGTTCGAATCCCTCGGGGTGGGATCGTGGATGCGCACTGATGAGGAGTATTATACTAGGACAAAAACGTCTTCCAGTGGTTTTAGGTTTTTCATGACGATCTAGCTTTAATCGACTCATGAGTTCAACTATTAAATTACTAAAATCTCCACAAAACCATTTTCTGATAATAATCATCATGTGCTCAGTAGTGGCTAGCTTCAAGAAATATTCCCTGGAGTTCTAGTGAAAAGCAGTGATCAGAAACTTTAACTGTGTCTGTTGCGAGATAATAACTCACTGAAGACAATGGTGGGTGGTGGCGAAATTTCGTGGATTGGTTGAAGTTAAACATTAACATCTTTGGATGCCACCTAATAGTCTAGAGCACTGAACGGCCGTTTTTTCCCACTGTGGGACTCCTCAGCAGTGCGCATCCAAGATCCCGCCTCTCGAGATTTAAACACAGGACATATTAATCTCGCACTCGAGTGCTTAAACATTAGACCACTGAGCCGACATCCAGTGGTGTTAGTGTCTAACTTCAACAAATCCACGAAATTGAGCGACATATCGATCATTGTCTTCAGTGAGTTGATATCTCACAACAGATGTTCTCAACTATTAAAATTACTATTATATCCATAGACCCCCTTCTGACCGTTGTATTCGTATTTTCTAGATAACATTCATTCACTTAAAAGATAATATCTCTTCAAGATAAACAAAGTGTTTAATTTACACTAATAAACAAATAGTTCTTACCGGAGGTTATGTACTTTTTTTAATGTTAATCATCTTTGTATTAAGTTCGGAAAATAAACAAAACAATACATTCGATACGAGATTTGAAGTTTCAGATGTTTACCTATCAGAATGTAATTTCACTAGTTAGCACTAGTAAAAAGAACTTCATATTAAGACGAAATAACTATTCAGAACTCAATAATTTTCAATAATCTTTTCGTTAATGATTTCATGATATTAACTTATATTGAAACAAACCAAATTACACTTTAATACTTACCCTGAATTTGATCGTTGTCGTGAAAGTCTTAATTGAGGTATAGGTGCTTTAATCCACATTGGTTGATATTTTGAATTGATCTGTTGTGAATCCTCTAATCGAATATTATTATTATCATATTGATAAATTTGATCATTTGTTACCCCACTAGGATTGATTACAACTTTAGATGGTACAGAATGACTAGTTGGCTGATAGTACTGTGAAAATTTAAATGAAATAGACAATTCTCTTTATTGAAAAACTATTTAACTGAAAAATGTTAACAAATCAAAGTTCACTGGATGAAATCGTGAATCAATTGAAGCTAGGCCACCATAGAAAACCTGAAAGCACTGGACGGCCGTTTCATCCTAGTATGGGACTCCTCGCCAGTGCGCATCCACGATCCCGCCCTCCGCGACATTAACACCGTTGGATGCTGGCTCAGTGGTCTAGTTGGTTAAGCGCCTGGCGTGAGACTGATAGGTCCTGGGTTCGGATCTCGCAGAGGGCGAGGTCGTGGGTGTGCACTGCTGAGGAGTCCCATACTAGGACGAAACGGCCGTCCAGTGCTTTCAGGTTCTCCATGGTGGCCTAGCTTCAATTGACTCATGATTTCAACTAGTGAAATTTCTAAAAATCTCCACAAAACCCATTTTCATAATAAAAGTCAAATTTAATTGAAATCCTCACCATTGTTTAAATTAAGACTTAATGTATTATGTCTATGTGCTTTTGTTATGGATATTTGAAATAATAATGAGTATATCTATGCACTTTCTCAATAGGTGTCTCCTTATTTAAAAGTATATGTACATTTTCGATACCCAGAGAACCTTAGTTTACTGCATTGAGAAACTATGTTAACTTACATGTTATGATTTTAAAGTAGAACACATGTTTACTTGTTTGTCCGTAAATTATTGAATACAAATGAAAATAATAGCTTCACATGGCTTTAGCTTTCTGGAATAGAATAATGTGATACAAAGATCAATGACAAAAATTTAAAGATAGTTCGAATCACATAACGTTTAATAATAACGACATAACGTATTATCAGTATAGGGTTGTGGAAACTATTAAGTTTTTGATTGAGATTATGAACAAATTGATGTTAGATCACCATTGAAAACCTGGAAGCACTGGACGGTTGTTACGTCCTGATATGGGACTCCTCAGCAGTACGCATCCACAACCTCGCGAGCGGCATTATGTTGGGATGACTGAAAGTGTTTTTTTTCTAGATTGTAAACTTTAAACTACAAAAAAGATAGAAAGTTTTCATAATGAAATGAACTAAGCGATCATCATTATTTAAGCTCAACGGAGTTAGAATCGTATGCTTGTATATACTATTCAAGTTGATCGAATCTCTAAATTAATCTCTACATGGTTGTTTAAATCAATTTTGCATACAACTGGAATGATATTAGTAAGTAATTGAGAAGAAATTGTCATACACAATGATTCTATGAATAATTCATGAAGTAACACAAAACGTTCATGACAAGCAACTTGTAGCTTAGTCACTGGCAAAAATGGTATGTTTATAACGGTTAAAAATGATCTGTCGACTATACCGTTGAATACTATATCGTTAAATAAAGTGAATTAATTCTAAGGTGTCTGGGATTAAATTATACAGAATCATCAAATTAGCTATATGAGATTATCTATGAATGAACAGATAGGACTTACAAGTAAACGCTGAATACTAACATTATCCATTGATTTCACAATGCACTACACGAAATCTTAATATTTTTTTTAAAATCAGTAAATATAAAAAAAGTTTTGCAAAATTTTTTTATGATCAAAAGTTGTATTAGATTTTTTTGCAACCTGTTCGCTGAGAGACATGGAGGTTCTAAGTTCTGTACCTGACATGTTATGAGTACACACAGCTTCTTAGTACCATATTAAAATAAAGCAGCTTTTCAGTTTTACCTAGTTTTCAGTGATGTCTCAACAGAAATTAATCTGTAACGAACTCAACAACAAATTAAACCAATTTCTACAAAAAGCGTTTATCTAAAATAAGTTATCTATTTTATAATTTAATTCTTATTCATTTCTATGGTTTACGACCCGATCTTTGATGATTCTTCAACTAAAGGATAAGGTACTTGGTTCTGCTACATCTATGTGTATCTACAAATTCAGCTGCTCCTGTGGGGAAAGCGGTATTGGGTGCACAACCAGACAACTGAACCAACGAAATAGTAAAAATCTCACCTCGTGGTTAGGAAAGGCTGTTCAGTTAACAACGTTTAGAACAACACTCATTTATGCGCGCGTTTAAAAAAAGCAGTGATTTAATACTTGTCGTGATTTGACTTCAGTTCTGTGAATTATTCCATCAAAAACATACATAGTCTATTTTATCTTGAATTTCGGTTAAAGTTTGAGATTTACACCAAATACATCATGTGGTACTCTTTTATTGGTCGATTTCGACACTAGTAGTCATACTGTGTATTTTTGCCGTTTTTTACTCTCTTAATTCCTCTACAGTGGTCGACTGTACTTATAAATGTGGACAGCCAAACTGTTCTTTCGCCGTGGGGGAGGGAATTAAATGCGATTAGTGAAAAAGCATTATTCCATAAGGGGTGTACCCGTTTATTTCACACCGCATACAAAAGATGCTCGAAGCCTTACTCCCTTGGCTTCATATGTTTTGTTGTTCCAGTAAGACTTTACTGATCGTGAAGGCTATGAGCTTTCTGCTTTAGGTTTGCAAGAAAATCAATGGTGGCTGCACTATTAACACGAGTACTGACAGTGAAGAATGTGTCAGTGTAGTACGTGCTATACGTGACGCACCAAACACCCGATTGTAAATCATGGAGAAGGAAAACTTTTAAAACAAAGAAGGAGTGAAATACCACTCGATATTGGTAGTAATTATTCTGAAGTAGTAACTAAAGACCCAGATGAAACCGTCAACGTTTCAAGTAGTCCTGATATAGCTGTCCTGAGTGACGGGTAATGAGCCACCGTGAGGAGACAAAAAAGAGAAATGAAAAAGCCACAAGCAACAACCAATTGGGTGATATGTCTTCGGTAGATTCCCGTTCTGCGTCATAGAATACACCAGTAGAGTCTAAAAGTAGGACGGGACTTAACCCTATGGTGGCTGGACAAATTTTGATCTCATCGAATATTACTGTAAGTAATTTGCTAGAAACAAACAACCCTGATCCAAACATTAGACACGAGCATGATTTGGAAAACGTTGGAGCATTGATTTGTAGCATCTTACCAGTTAACTCTACAGAAGCTCGAGCTAAAAAAACTGCTAAGAATAGGTAAGAGGACCGAAGAAAATGTTGAACCCCGATCATATAGACTCCATAAGGATAGGAGAAACAATGATCTTTTATTAAATAGCGCTCGAAGTCACGATAATACTGACATTCAAGTAAGAGCATGTGTGTCTCTAGAGGTTAGAGTAAAAAGAAAGGGGGCTGAACTAGAAACGCGTAAACAATATGGTGAAAAAATTTCCGCTTGGTGGCTTTTGAGTAGTCAGGTCTTGGAAACGAATGCTTTCAAGGTCTGTATGAATAGGCTGTCCTGTCATGTACAAACGATCGTAATCTAGGAAATAAATTTCATGAACAAAGGGTATCGGAGGACGAACTAAAGCCACTCATCGTAGCCGTGACTGAAGCTTGGTTAGTTTATGACTTCGACGTCATTCCAGAATTATCTAGATACAACTACCTAGGAAGTGATAGGAATATATGCAAGAAGGGGGTGGGGTACTAATATACATAGCTAATAATATAAATATCTGTTCCTTTGTTTGTGAATCCCATGATAGTGGAACTTGCGAAGTCATTAATTTTCGAATGTTGTACATTTATACTTTGTGTTATCTACGGTAGCCCGAACTGCTCAGCTGATAACTTTATTTTAGATCACATTCAACTATGGAGTAAAAATAGCAGATGCCTGATATTAGGAGATTTTAATGCATCTGATATTAGCTGGATTGGCCACAGTCCTTTGACAGTAGGTTCCAGATAAAGGTACTGGAGCATGTCTTAGTATAGAGTGTATCTGGACCTATACCTTCTGGTTCAAACCAAGGGTCTTCTTTGTTAGACTGAGTAGTCACTCACACATTTTCCTCACTGTAATATTCAAAACGATTCCTGGTAACCATTTAGTTGTGAAGTCAGTAAGTCCAGCAAGTTTGCATCCGATTCAAAATTTAGTTTTAACTCAATAAAATTATCACTTCTAGTTACCATTTAGTAGTTAACTATCGTTAACGTTTCAGTTCTAGGAAGAGTAAGACACTATCAGTATAGATCAGTGATGAGGTTTTAAATTAGTATTGAGAATTTTAGGAGATTGTAGTATTTTCACAAGTGAAATCACGAACTGACATATTCAGACCATCGATGAGAATCTGGAAGCATTAGATGGCCGTTACGTCCTAGCATAGGACTGATCAGCAGCGCAGATCCATGACATCGCACTCGGGAATCAAACCCAAGACCTTCGGTCTCGCTTACGAATGGTTAACCTTCAGACAACTGAGCCGTCATCCTTGATTCGATTTCCGCGTGCGAGGTCATCTATATACACTACTGACTAGTCCTATACTAGAATGTAACATCCATCCAATACTTTCAGATTTTTAATGTTGGCCTAAGATCACTTCGTGGTTTCAACCAAGTAAACTTTCTTAATTGTTGTAATAGGTGAGACAGGAAACACTTTCCCTCAGCATTAGAGATAAGGCTTACTTATAAATGAGGAAAAACACAAAATCCAAGTTCTGGGATTCCGTTCATTTCTCTTCAAACATCTAATTTCACTAAACAAACTTTTAAAACGATATATGTATATATTCACTTGGTATTATTTGCTTGTATCTCTCCATTGTTGTTTAGGATTACAATTGCCATATGTGTACACCATGCATATTGCCTCGGTATTGCCTTAATTTACAAGCATTATAACCAAAAATAGATAGTGGTTAGCAGTGAAATGTAGGACGCACGTTTCGTCCTATTTGATAAGCGTCAGTTGTATGTAACTGAATCTCAGAGTTGGTGTTCACCCCGGGACTCAAACTCAGTACTGTTCGCTTCAAACACCATCATGTTATCCATTTAACTGCTAAGTCCTGATAACCACTTGCTTGTGAAATGTGGTGAAGTTTTAAATTCACTTGGTATTGTTTTACTTAAATTTT